CCCTCCCTCCCTCCCTCCCCCCCTTTCTCTTTCTCCTTCCTTCCTTCCTTCCTTCCTTCTTTCTTTCTTTCTTCCTTTCTTTTTCTTTTTTTTTTTTTGGGTGGGGAAAAAATAGAGTTTGGTGTGCTGAGGAGAACTTATTTTCCTGACAATGAGGCATTCAAAAGTAGCAGTTGCAAGAGTAGAAACAACCAAAACACTCAAGAGAGCTGAAGGCCACAATTCAAAAATGAATGCGCTTGTCGTTATGGAAGATGTCACATGTACTTTACAGGAGTTTTGATGTAGTCATGCCTTAAGATTTGCTGTGTACAAGGGATTGAGTTAATTATCACCAGGAAAATTTCCCCCCAAATTGTGCTGTGCTTAAATATACCTAAAATAAATAACTCTGATTCAGACTCTCCATGGTTTTTTTTTTTTTAGATTTTATTTACTTATTATGTATACAGTATTCTCAGTATTCTGTCTGAATGTATGCCTGCAAGCCAGAAGAGGGCACCAGATCTCATTACAGATGGTTGGAAGCCACCATGTGGTTGCTGGGCATTGAACTCAGGACCTTTGGAAGAGAAGGCAGTGCTCTTAACCACTGAGCCACCTCTCCAGCCCCAGACTCTCCATGTTTGAAGCAGCATCAGCCACTGAGTCATACTGAGCTAAATTTCCTTCTTAGCCTCCTGAAACCGATTCTCCCTGGACCGACACACCCAGGACTGACGCTCCCTGGAATCGACTCTCGCAGGACTGACACTCACTGGACCTACACTCTGCTGGCCACGGTGTTGACAGAGACCCCCACGCGGGTCAAGCTCTTCTCTGGTTCCTCCCCCTTTCTCTCTGTTTCTTCTTCCCAGGAAATGAAATACCTTTCACCACTATGAATTCAGTGCCTCAACCTCAACTTAAGGACTCAGCTGGCAACAAAAGGCTTCTAAAAACAGGATTCTTGGTGGGAATATCTTAAATCAACATATCCGAGCAGTTGCGGTGCCTGTCTCGGGCTCACCCTTAGGAAGAGCTTTGTTCCCATGTTTCCCCATCTGCCTTGGTCATTCATGTTCCCCAGCCAGACAAAAATTTTCCTATAATCAACAATCATACTTCTCTATATTCTCTACTCTCTCTACCATTGTATTCATAAAAATGAGAAGGAACCACAGCCCCCAAGCCCAGGCTTTTGGAAGACTTACAATGGACCATGGTGGGAGGGTGTTGAGGACTACTACAGAGAAGGAGAATAGGGAAAACAGCGATATCCTCAAAACTATTACAGCGACAGAGACAGAATTCAGTGATTAGGAAACGTCTGTCTGGAGAATATAAGTACCCCATAGCTGCAGAAGATGCTGATGATGGTAACCAACATTGTCTTGAGCCATGACTGCACATTGATCACAGATTCCCTTTAATCCTCATTTTAATTCAGTGAGGTAGGCATTATTAGCCCATTTTTAGAGAGGACAAATCTTAGGCTCAAATGGGCTTTGCACCATGCCACCACGCTGAGAAAGGAAGCAGTGGAGCCAGGCTCTCAATGCAGATTTGACCCCAAAGATCACATTCTCATGCCCCATGTACAACACATCAACTTCCTCCATGTGCCATGCAGCCCTGCCCAGCAGACCTTCCTGTGCTGTCGAAACTGTATCTATGTCGCCCACTGAAGAAGCCTCACGCTACATAGGGCTAGCGAGCATTTGCCAGGTGTCTGAGAGACTGAAGCACTGAATTATGATTTTACTTAATTGAAATTAATCTCTATTCAGATAGCCATAAGTGGCCATATGGACAACACAGCACAATCTCCACACCTTACCAGACTGTTCAGCATGAAGTGGGCACTCAACCATGTCAAGGGAACACACTTAGACTCAACGCCATTAAGGAAACTCCTTGAACCCTCTCGACCTTCTCATCATAGAGGCGGGAGAGAGGATTACACAGTTAGTTACATTCTCTTGCATGCGGTCCCCTGCTGCTTCACATCCTGAGCCTTATTCTTCACTAGATCAGTGCGGTAAGTAAAGTACTCAGAATGTCTGTACTCCAGGCTTTCCACGTGACAGGAAGAGTCACACTTTTATAGGTTATCCCCTAGCTACTACAGGTTCACTGTGTCTGCTGAGCAGAGCAAAGCAGGCAGTCTCCTCAGAAAGCTCTTACACAGGGTGGCTTGGTGCAGTTCCCGGAGAAGCCGATGAGAATACTTGTCACCAGTAAAGAAGTCCATGGAGGAACAGATTTAACCTCTCAGTGTCCCTCAAGTTATTTGCTTGTTTCTTTGTGTTTCAAGATAGGGTTTCTCTGTGTAGCCTTGGTTGTCCTGGAACTTGCTCTGTAGCCCAGGCTGGCTTTGAACTCACAGAGACCTACTACTTACCTCTACCTCCCGAGTGCTGAGATTAAAGGCAGGTGCTGAGATTAAAGTTGGTTCCTCGACTTTTTTTTCTTCATTCCTGTACACCCACTTCCTCAGAGTTGTTGAGACATTTATTTTATAATTCCCACTTCCACAAAATTTATTGATTGATTATTATTTAGACAGGTTAGCTAGATCTGTGGCAGGTTAGAAAGTTTTCCATACTACTTTATAATGAGATACTTCATGAAGTCCTGGAGTAGGGTCCTCTCAGGAGTGCGAGGTGTCACCAGGCAGAGGAGACCAGGACCGACATGATGGAATCAGATGGAAAACTCCTAGAACAAGATCGCCATTCATAACCTGGAACAGTTTTGAGGCTGGGCTGTGGCCCAGAAACAGGGGTAGAGCTCAGGGTTGTCCTTAGACATTCATGGCACCTGCTGGCTCTTTACTTTAGGAGAAAAGCATCTTCTTTATTTACCACAGGAGGAGGCCCTGAGGAGTGAGCAGGGATGTTGGCGCTGGGCCAGCGGGATAATAATCTGCGCTTTTTATAACAGCACTATAAAGGAAGCAGGGTGGGCTAAACAATAGCAGCCTTTAAAAATAAACATCCGAGGGCCAGAGATTCCTCAGAGCGCTCTTTGATGAAGCTCCCGCCCACCTGAGCATGAAGCTTTCGCGACAATCTCTGTACTTTCCAGGCAAGGTGTCAAGACGAACTCTGTCACTGTGGACGTAACATCCAAGCTCAGGGTGATGCAGGAGTTGAACCACCATATGGGTGACTCCAGCTTTGTCACCAGCAGAGAAGTCAGTTGCACAAAGAGAAAAAAAAATGGGTTTTATTCCCAAACTCGATTTACTCATGGACACGGTCATCTTTAAAAGCCTGGGCTTCTCCTTCAGGTT